GAGAGAGAGAGAGAGAGAGAGAGAGAGAGAGAGAGAGAGAGAGAGAGAGAGAGAGTCCCTCGACCCATAAGCGGTCTTAGGCTTCGCTGTAAACAGTCCTGGTCCAGGGTTCCCGTCGAAACCCGTTATTACCGACGGGGGAGGAGGACCTAACGATTTAATTAAGCCCGTGGGCGCGCCTCGTGTCGCTATCGGTGGCTTCTTGATTTACGTCCTTCCGCCTACCAGAAACCTGCGCACTTAATCACTAACCGTGTTTGTCCATCCGCTAACGAGTTTATTCGAGATATGGCGAGAACAAGGGAGGGATCTGGGTCTTCTTTTCCGCGTTGTGGCGCAGAGCGAGACGTACTATTTCTGGAGGAGATCCCGCTGCACTTTCGGCACAGCGCGGTCGGAACTTTCAATTTCCTCCGTGAAATTGCTGGCGCGCCGAAACTACGGCGGATCGCTGTAATTAGCTTCGACCGTGCTCTAACGAGATTCCAGAGATCGGGGCGAACTTGGTCGGCGCCGACCGAGCGCGAATGAAGGTAAGCCGTGCCGAGCTCGATCGCTCCTCGGCATATCGAGGAGAAGGCGTCTTTCACTTCCGGTTCATCGAACGTTTTGTATGGAAGTTATACACGTTTATCGCCATTATGACGTCTGCGCGAGGAACAAAAGCAGGATGCACCCTGAGATCTCTGTGACTAAGAAATTTATCAATCATTACCTAATCAGCTATCTATTTTGTACAAAAATGATGTCATCAGATCTTGATAAGGTAAGTCAAAGGTCAGGACATTATTAACGATACGAGTTATTAATAATAAAAATTTTGTTAATAATTAGAATCTGATTATGCAAATCAGATAACTGACTAGGATCGACCTGACAAAGATGCGTCGATCACCTTCGGGTCAAAGAAAATTTTCATCGATCAATGTCCAGCACTGACGATCATTGACGCGTGTCGTTTTCGCTGACACAGTTTCTCGCGCGCGGAAAAGCTCGATTAAGCATAAGGAGCAGCACGTTAAAGCGGATCACGTAATAAGCTCGAGCGACAAGCCGAGCGACGAGCAAGATCACTCGTGCGACTCCACTTCTACTCGTCGAAACAAACGGCGTTAACGTCGCGTTATCCCACGCGTACGATTAAGCGATTTAAGCTAATAACAGCGACGCCGTCTGGTCAACGGAAACGGGGACGACGCGGCAGGAGATTTCGATTGCTTTTTAATTTAGCCGAACGTGCAAGAAGACAGGGAAAGTAGCTCGAGTGTGTTTGCGAGCCCGATGAGCGGAACGCGAACCCGTTTTCGCGCTATTCGTACCTTGGCGCGCGCGTGTCTCCTCTCACCACGTGCGCTTCGCGTGCGCGTTTGCACGCCCCTTGCACGTGAACACATATACATACACATGCAGGCAGATATGCCTGCGCGCGTGAAGGGGTAGTTCGCTCTCATTAACCTCTCGCTAGGCGGAGCGCCCTTAACCGGCTTGAATTGCTCTCGGCGCAGAGGCGGAGGTGCAGACTGGGACTGGGGCGAAGGGGAACGATCTCGTGCACCTCTGTTACCACGAGTCGAGAGAGAGAGAGAGAAAGAGAGAAGAAAAAAGAGGAGACACGGCGAAGAGCGAAAAGGAGAATGTCTGAGGAGGGTCGTGAGGGAGAATCCATCGATGCAGACAAATTAGGCCACTCGCTGGAAAGGGTCCGCTGCAAAGCGGAGAAGCTGCCAGACGGCAATGTGAACGCGAGGAGCTTAATTCATGGCGCACACGATGACTGCTACCCCCCGCTACTCGCCTTCGTCGCTTGGTTTCTTCGCCCTTTAAACGGGGCGACCTATTTCCGTAACGCGAACGGGTGAGCGAACGGGATACAACGGGGTACGTGAGTAAAAACGTCGCTGCCGACGACGATGTCTCAGCGCAATGTGTTCACGTGTTCGCGATACGTTCGTGATCTTGAGTTCCGAATTCTTTTTTGCGACAAAGTAAACGGTTCGGAGTCCGATCGGACGCGTTCTTTTTGCTCACGGCCGACACGCAGTCACGAGATTACACAGCAGGAATGTAAAGTGCGAGAAGAGTCCTCGACGTGGAACAGCCGGAGGCAACGAGCTGTCGCCGCCAGCTGCGAATCTCATCCGTGGGCAGAAGAAGTGCTCGACGACGGCGGAGATTCGAAAGGGCCGAGGGACGCGAACGGCCGTTCTCTTCGCGAGCCGTTTAATTTTTCGATTACATCAGGCGACGCAAAAAGCGCGAGAATAACACGTGTGGTCGTCGGCGGTGCTCTGATGTTTAATGAGGACGCTGGAGCCTGGTCTCTGGGCCCGGTTTCTTAGCGTTTCTCTCTAAATTTCACGGAGTAGAGTCTTACTCGAGACCTGCGAAAAATGCTGATATTTTCACTCAAAGTGACAACAAAGGTCGCGAGAATGAAACGAGTTCCGACTACTCCATGGTCTTGATCAGATGAAACCCGATCAGTTATCTGCACGGAAAGAATTTTATAGTAAAAATTAGATACAATATCAAAATAGAATAAAGGAAACTGGTCTCTGAGAGCCAATACGCACATGTTGCAGTTGCAATTCGAGGAATGAATTGACATTTTGCAGTAATTCACTGTGCCCTTCCATTTCACATGTGCCATTTACATTTTAGGAACTGAACTGTACCATTGACACACTTGCTATGTTTCTAGCGAAATCTGCTGTGTTCCCAGCGAAACCTCCTTAGCGAGGTAGACCTTGCTGACAGTCTTATACCTGGACTACCGGAAACTTTGTGAGAGTAAATCGCGCGCCTTTTCCTGCTTCGTTTCGCCCAGTCCTCGCGCCTTATATTCCACGCTCTGTCCAGCCGATCGCTCCGTCGCGAATTCGCGATTCGGACTCTGTCCGCGTATCGTTGGCCGCGAACCCGACGTGTATCGTACCTGGGTGATCGGATTAGCGGCGGGAGGGGGCGGGGGAGGTTGACAGTGGGTCGTCGTCGTGATGTCGGTCGGTCGTTGGGTCGGCAAACCCGCGGAGATGAATGGGTCTGGCCCTGGGGTGGTTCGCCAGCTGACTGGGGTCGTCATAGCAACCCGGCGACCCAGGAGCGACGCCCACCCCTGCAAAATTCATACTCGTCCATCCTGCGGCTGGTTTCGCCTCGCCGATTCATCTGCCTCTTCTTCGCCATTCTTCTCGCTGATCACCTCTTCGACGGGATCAGCTAGCTTCCCGACCGGCACCTGCCGGCTTGCTCTTTTCGTCCCAGCCGTGCGTTCAAACGAGACAACGGGCGCTCGGGGCCGTGACGAGTACACCGACGTGCGAAAACGCTTTAAAACCAAGACAGAGAGGAATTTCGAAACGACAGCTCCGTGTTTCCCCGACGGTTCTGCACCGCAAGGTGCCGCGCTCGATAGTGAGCTTTGGGGTTGATCAGGGGGTGGCGTCGCGACATACGACACAACGTCGTATGAAAATCGCATAAAAGTCGTATCCCAAGGTGTCTTCGGATTGAAAGTCGAATCGAGAAACAAGTGTGTTAAGTGGATGTCATACTTGAAAACTTTACTGACTTTTTTCTGCAAAGTTTACGTCACATATTGGTTGCACAGAATTCTATTTGCCTAGTATATTGTATCGAGTAACAAGCACAGGCTTTTTAGTTATCAGATTACTGGTTAACTCAAATAGAATTCTTTTAACTTCAGCCAATTTCAAGAATTTCCTGCCTTGTTCATATTTCACCAAAAATTTAGGTAATCCAACTAAACGTGTTTTCCACGCGAAAATACTTATTGCATAATGTGTTTACCATTCACTACCAAAAAAGTTGGCCGAAAAACGAGAGTCATTTATACGAATCTTAAAAACGTAAAATTTAGAAACCTCATCTGTGCCATCCATTTGACATCACGTTTATTATTTACAGCTGAAAAGTTATCAGAAAAGCGAATATGTACGGGAACATTAAGAACGCAAAATTCGCAAAATTATCACCTGCCATCCATCACTTATACTACTCAAAGTTTAAACAGATAATAGAAACTCGAGAGAAGTGTCCAATAATAAAGATATAAATGAATAAGTGGAACGTCTGAATAGCATCAGAATGAATAGCTTAGATAAATAAGATGAAGATACAAGCCTGTGTGTAACCGCATCACTCATGACAAAGGATACATATATCTGGTCCCTGCTATAACGAACTTGAAGATTCCGATTGATGCCGGTCTCATCGATGTCGCTGATGACTGTCATGTCCGGCACACCGCAATCAGGGCTTGAGCCTGAAAAACAGAGAACGTCGTTTTTTGTGAAATATTATTAGAAAAGATCACGTTATGTCCAAATAGAATAATCTGACGGTGAAAGTAAAAGATCAAAATTGACAAAAAGAAAATGACACAACTGAAACTGTTCGTCGATCGGCATTTCGTATCTTCGATGATTACTCGACACTTTTCCTGGCTAATATTGAGTTTCATTTGGATTACGTTTCCAGGACGTACCCACACATCAAAGGGAACTGCGAATGCTTGTTTGACCACCTGTTGTCCGGTGATGTAAGTGACAATTATGCCACTTTGAGAGCGAGCGGTTCGATTAACCCTTTAGCGCGCCGGAATTTTTACGGTCTGTTCATTTATTCGCTAGGGATTTCTTATGGAGATTTCCCACTTCTACATTACCAGCACATATAAATTTCAGATCTCTGTTAAATTCTTAACCTTTAGACTGCTGAGAAAGCCACTTTTGTGGTTCTGCACAAATCTCAAAATTCTACGCCATGTGAATCTTACTTATACAGAAAATTTTTTTAGAAAAAGAAACCACTTTTTTAATGAAAAATATGCCGGCAGCCTAAAAGTTAATAATATAGACTTTACTGACAGTCTATTCCTGCACTACTAAAAACATGATAAAATTTAAAAGAATTTGTATGAAAATAACTATATATACAGGGTGAGTCATTTTAGTCTATGGATCCGAATATCTTCC